CTGGAGCCCGCTTCTGATTCTGTGTCTCCCTCTCTCTCTGCCCCTCCCCCACTCGTGCTCTGTCTCTCTCTCTCTCTCTCTCTCTCAAAAATAAATATTAAAAAAAAAAAAAGGCTAGAGGTTCTGTCCTCAAGGCTAAAACCTGTCATATTTTATTGAATTTTATTGCGAGCCTAATCTACCTGCTGAAATGTAAGCTCCCCCTTGACAGGGATCAGATCACATCCACCTGCCCCCGTGCCCATCCACCCATCCACCCCTCCATCTACCAGCCACCCCTCACCCATCCATCCATTTATCCAACACCCAGCAGCATTTAATGGAGTCCGTTGCGTTGGGGCAGAAACCCAGAGGTGAGTCATTCTAGTTTCTGCCCCCGGAGAGCTCACAGTCCTCTAGGTAAGACGCGGAAGCACACGAGGAACGTTTTGAGCAGCAAACAGGATAGAAGATCGACGGTCGGGGAGCGCGGTGCTGTGAGTGGCCGATGGCGCCACTGCAAAAGTCTCCTGGGGGGACATCTGAACAGAAGGTGAGGAGAAGGTTTTCCAGGCCCCGAAGAGGACGGCAGCGTGCGCAGAACAAGGATGCCGACAGACGCCCCAGGCTGCAGGTGCCAGAGGGTGGGGTGTGAGGGGCCCCGGCGGAGCGGAGAGGGTGTTGCCGGGGAGGTGGCCTGGTGTCTTCCCTAAGGGCCAGGCAAGTGTCGCTGAGGGCTCCCCGGGGCGGGAGTAGGGAAGCAGCCACACCCGCTCCAGGACTCACCTGGATCCTGCGGACGGATGTGGGGAGGCTGCGGGTCTTTGCCCTTCTCCCCCTTTCCTGAACTTCCCTTTCATGCCCACTCTCCACCGCCTCTCCTAGCTGAATTAACTGCCCGGCATTCTTTCAGGGACCTGTCATTGTAACCACACCCCTGTGTTCGCCTGTTTGTCCCCCCCCGTCCATAGACGGTGGGTTCCCTGGGGACAGGGGTGACAACCCCTCCCTGTGGCTTGTCTGTGTCCCTAAAGCCTAGCATCCTGCAAGGCTCAGGTGACTCCCTCAGTGTTTGTTAAATGTGAGAGGTGGGGGGCGGAATTTATGCTCAGGTCAGACCGCTCTGGCTGAAGGGACCGGAGGGGTGAGGCTGGGGCAGGAGTTCAGTTAGGAGACACTGACCAGCAGAGAGAAGGGAGCATGTTGAGAAATAGGTGGGCTTCGGGGCACCTGGGCGGCTGTCCAGTTAAGCGTCCGACGTCGGCTCAGGTCATGATCTTGGGGCTCGCGAGTTCGAGCCCCCACGTCGGGCTCTGTGCTGACAGCTCAGAGCCTGGAGCCCGCTTCGGATTCTGTGCCTCCCTCTCTCTCTCTGCCCCTCCCCCACTTGTACTCTCCCTCCCTCTCAAAAATAAATAAACATTTAAAAAGATTAAAAAAAGAAAGATGGTCCACGGCCACACCACCCTGAACGCGCCCGATCTCGTCTGATCTCGGAAGCTAAGCAGGGTCGGGCCTGGTTAGTACTTGGATGGGAGAAAGATGGTCTTTGAGAGGCAAAGGCTGTGAGGTCTCCACAGGAAAGGCGAGGAGGCGGGCAGCCCTGTCTCTCCCAGTGTCCAGTCCGAGGGCGCGCGTGCAGAGGCAGCGGGCAAGAGAGCGGCCTTCTTTTCCGCCAAGAGGTCTCGTAGGCCTTGGATTCCTGACCGGCCACTTCGCTAGCCTGGCTGAGGCAGGCCGACCCCCTGCAGCCCTGTGTTGCTAGAAGACATTCTACCTTTCTGAACTTTAATTTCCTCATTTGTGAAAGGAGGACCAAGTAAAGACAAGAGATAACATGCCCGTCTCAGCGTCCGGCACTTTAATTTCTCATGTAGAAGAAAACCTGAGTTGTTTCCTACCCCAGGGAGCCGGGGCCCCTTGAAGGGTAGCTGTTTGGGGCCCAGAAATACCAGAACAGGCTTACATCGTATTCTCGTATCGCCGGCTGCCTTTGACAATGGCAGGGACTGTGCTAAAGAGCAAAGAAGCCTTTCAAAGGGACGGCCATGGGCCAACTTGTGACAGCGTGAACATTAAAATAATAGAAACACGATCCATTCCTGCCCAAGAGGGAGTAACAAGAACGAATACCCCCTCCCATCTGAAAGAGCGAGGGCACGATGCCAGCTTTTCCAAGGAACTGGACCTTAGGCCATGAAAGACGGTCACCCTGAGAGACAGGAAGTCAGTGGGGTGAACGCTACAATCGCCACCGTTTGCTGCCTTGAGGAAGTGTCCAGGCTGCCGTGGAGGGAGGGGAAACCAGGCAGGACCCAGAGGGGTCCCTGATTGAGATGGCACTGACGGTCCAGGGACACTAAGGCGGTGAGACATCACAGGACAGAGCGCCGGAGAAGAGAGGACCGTACAGAGAATCCTGGAGACCCGCCGAGGTGCCCCTGAGCAATCCGCGCGTGCACAAACCTCGGGGGCGTCAACACCCTGAAGCCAAAGGGAGCCGTGTCACACACGGGCAGGGGTCCGTTTTCTGGGCCGAGGGGCCATCGCTCCTATCGGCTTCTCGAAGAGTGACTTGACACGGTTAGACGTCTTCTGAGAACGAGGCTGGTCGGAGGAGGCACAAGGGGTACACGCAGGGGGACAGGACACTGGCCGGGCCAGCCCTGTGCCCACCGGGCTCCATGTTCAAATCCAGGGAGATGGCTGTGCGTGCAAATCCGGGGAGCCGTGACACAAAGTGGCCAGGCAGTGTCGCTGTGGGATACCGAAGTACCGCAGAGGGGGTGGCGTGATCCCGCCCCCCGAAAAAGACCCTAAGACGTTGGCCTTGGCAGCGGCTGGGACCCTTGAGGCAACCGTGTTTTCTCACAAGGCCCAGAGCCTTGTGGTTGGCCTCAAGGGGGCACGATGGAGCATGGGGTCCCCAGGCCTGTGAGTACGTGGCCGGGGGACCTCTCAAACATAACACAGGGAATACCAGAAAGATGCAGAATTCCTGCTGGTAGATGGGGGGGGGGGGGTGCTGAGGCCATGGGTCCTCGCTGGTAGCCTCAGGGGCATCCCCGAGGAAGAGCTGTGCCCTCTTGGTAGACCAGACCCCAGACCCCAGACCTGACTGGCCTCCTGCGGAGCACAGACCAGCCCCTCCACCTACACTGAGGGGCCCGACAGGGTCCCCCTTCCTCACGACCAGGCCCCCACTTCTTACCTATATGGGCTTTGCAGTGACAGAGCACGCAGCCAGCCGTCTGTCATTTAAGCCTCCCGGTAACCGTGGGCGGCAGGCTGGACAGACCTCTGCCCGCTGGAAAAATGACGCTAAGATGCCGGGATCACTGGAAAGTGAGGCCAAGACCAGAGTCCGGGCCTCCTCCCTCCACGAGGCGCTCTCCTAGCTCTCGCTGCAGAGAGAAGCCGATCGGCCTCCAGACTGAGCTTGGCTACTTCCGGCCCCACGTTTTCCGAGGACGCGTGAGCAGCGGGGCCTGCAGGGTCCAGACCCAATGGCTCCCTGCACCTGCTTGCCCGGCACTCGGCTCGCTATCACATGTGCATTTTATACCTCCAGGGCTCACCTAGCACAGACCCTGGCAGGGAGCAAACCCTCTTCAGGTACTTGTACAAATTACACACACACACACACACACACACACACACACACACGCCATGGTTCTGTGACCTGTGCTTCACTCGCGTAAGGTGCCACCAAGGTCGTATTATTTTTATTTTCCACTCGGATTCTCTCCTGCCAAATTAGTAGGAACCTCAGCCCTTCCCTCTGTACTTTCTCCGCTTTCCCTACAAACTGTCCGAAGCCTCTTGGGGCTCAGCCAGCCCACGTTGGGATTGTTCCAGCTGCAGCTCCCCAGGGATGGAGCCAAGAAAGCCAAAGCGACGCTGCCACGGGTGATTCTCGCTGCCAAGTGGTGTCACCGCTGACAGCTGGCCACAGGCCCCTGACACTGGTGGAAGTCGGGGTCTGGGCAGGGCAGTCCCATGCCCTTAGCACTACACGAAACCACGCGCTCCTTCGGTCTCCTGTGTAGCCACACCCCCCAGACACCGGCTACACGGGGCGTCCGTCAGGACTTACACCGAGTGTCGCCTTTCCTTCCCCGTGTCCACACCCCACAGAAAAAGCAGCTTTTCCTTTCCAGCTCTGGAAACTGAAGATTTCAGCACGCCAGAACATAGAGCCCTGGCCACCTGTCAAGCTGGGATTTGTCCCCGGGGGTCCAGATGTCAGCACACCAAAGGTCTGATTTCGTGTTGCCTCTTTCCTGAGCCTCAGACGTGTTTTATCCTCCCGATGACACCCAGGAAGGCCTTTCCTCTGCCTAATTATCGCCAGAAGGACCTCCACCCACGTGGATTAGACCTTCAGTGGGGCGTCGGCTACACTTCTCCCACGGCCTTTACCTTCTCCAGAGTGAATACGTGTTTCTGGGCGTGCCGGCCCCTGGAGACAGCACATCGTGCCGAACGGAGACCAGAGCTGACTCACGCACGAACCTGGCATCCAGTGGAGGGCCAGTCTCCAAGTGGCAGGGGCTCGGAAGACGCAGCCCTGGGCAGCGTTGAGCAGGGCCTCCAGGGGGGCACAGCGCGTGAAAGGCAGCCCGGTGTGAAATGGCTTGAGCCTCTGGACCACAAGGGGCACCAGGGTGGCTCAGTTGGTCGGTTCAGCGTCCGACTTCGGCTCAGGACAACTCAGGATGATCTCCCGGTCCGTGAGTTCGAGCCCCGCGTCGGGCTCTGTGCTGACAGCGCGGAGCCTGGAGCCCGTTTTGGATTCTGTGTCTCCCTCTCTCTCTGACCCTCCCCGTTCATGCTCTGTCTCTCTCTGTCTCAAAAATAAATAAGCGTTAAAAAAAAAAAATTTTTTTAAGTCAACATTAAAAACTTAAAAAAAAAAGAAGACACTTTTCTGAATCCAAGAAATTAAAAAAAGAAAAAAAAGACCTGGGAACAACTGCTTCGCTTTGGTTACAGGCATTCACCTTGACTTCCACACAGACTGCAGCCACGACATGAGGAATTTTATTTTCTTAACACTTTCGTGTCCTTAAGGGTTGTGTGAGGTTTCCCCTGGACGAGGCAGGGCTATCATCTTTCTCTCGGAAACGTTTTCTGCTTTAACAAAATAACGACGTAAACTTGTGAACACTTTACATCATTGAATTCAAGGCCTTGTCCTTGAATAACATTTTAACTTCTCTTAAAAGGAGTGTTTCATATTATTAAAACAGTAATGGCTGTCATCTCTGATCAAAAGAGAGGATTGGGGCTTGGATGGGGCATAGCTGTCACTGTCAAGGTCCTGGTCCATCCCTCAGGGGCGGCTGTGGGAAGGCTCCGTCGGGCCCGTCCTCTGGCTCAGCGGGAAGAACCTCCCAGCCATGGAACGGCCCATCAAAGGCTCTCTTGTCGAGTAACAAAAGTTCATGGCAACATCCGCCTGCTGATGACGGCAGCAGGCCCGTGGGTCTGGGGACGGTGCCAACGGGCCCTTCGTCAGCTCCCGAGATGCTCTCGCACCTTGCGGGCGACGCCAGGGAGGTGGTAAATGCAACAAGCTGAGACCCATCCTGGTTTCGGCCACAGCTGACGTCGCCCCCACGTGCCCCTTTGTTCCGACGCCCTTCTACCTTCTACCCGGTGGGAAGAGAGTAAAACAGTCCCATCAGGCCGTGGTCTGCCGAGAGCGGGTGTCCCTCAAGACCTCCTACAGGTGCACAGGGGCGCCCACCCTCAGCAGGCGGGGGGCAGCCCTGTGCCCCAGCGGGTGGCGGAACAGCAGGGATCAAGGAAGCCCAGAATTGTCTAATTCCAGACTGTCAGGGCCAGATTGCCCGGAAGAGCCTCCAGGACCCACTTTCTGGAGAGGGAAACTGAGGCCCACAAGGGGAAAGTGGCTGCAAGGGAGTGCGAGAGGGAGGATCAGAACTCGGGGCTCCAGCTCCCGGCCCTGTGCTCCCCTCTGTCACCCGGGCCCAGCACCAGGAAGGAAGCATCACATGAGGTCTGAAGCTTAGACTCAATCCCTCCTACCCCAAGGGAGGCTGGGGCCCCGGGGGCCTGGGTCTCACCTGGGAGCTGGTTAGAAATGCAGAGTCTAGGCCCTGCCCCGGGACCCACAGAGGGCAGCTGGAGCCGGTGAGCCGGTGAGCTGTGCCCAGCCCAGACGGAGAGAGGGCCATCGGAGAGGGGAAGGACCTTGTAGACAAGCCCTCCCCGGGGACTGAGAGGAGCCTCTGGGAGATCCCCTGCCCACGCGCCTGTGGGGCAGCCCCGGGGTCTCTCTTCAGGCCATGGTCGGCACGACGGACCCCTGGAGCCAGCTTGCTGGAAGCCGGGTCTTTTGAAAGAGCCGGGAGTAACTGCGTGTTGGAGGGGGCTCAGCTCCAGCCAGAGCCTGGACAGGGGGAGGTGAGGCGCCACCCCAGTCCGGTCAGGTGGGACCGGTGGCAGAGGAGCGGCGGAGGCGGGCGGGGGCGGGGGCGGGAGCAGGGGGGCCTGCCAGGCGGCGGCAGCGGCCTCAGCGGCCTCAGCGGCCTCAGCGACAGTATTCCTGCTCGATGCTGGCCATCAGCGCCTCCTCTGAGTAGTCATACGAGACGGCGGGGATGTCCGACTGCCCGTCTGGCCTCCCGTGGCTGCCGTCTGGGGCTCTGCGGGCCGGAGACACGGACAGGGTGTCAGGAGGTAAGATGTCACCTTCAAACTCGTCATCTCTACAATGGCCCCTTCGTGGACTCCTGATCCGTCCTAAGACCCAAACTGAAAACCTTTGTGGGATACCTTCGTAATCTTTTCCATGAGCAGGCCTCTGCCTGCTTCTCTGGCTTCGTTGCCCATGACATTATCCGCTAAGACCTCACTTCCCCCTACTTACCCAGGTGAGGAAGCCAGCGGCTGGGAAGTTTAAGGGTCAGGGCCCTCAGGGTAGAAGGGCCAGGGGTCAAATCCCAGCTCTGTCACTTACTAGCTCTGCGACCCTGGCCGAGGCATTTGCAGCTCTGAGCATCAAATGTTTTCCCTCTAAAACGGAGCTGTGTTCAGGGGCGCCTGGGTGGCTCCGTCGGTTCAGCGTCAGACTTCAGCTCGGGTCATGATGTCACAGTCCGTGAGTTCGAGCCCCACGTGGGGGCTCTGTGCCGACAGCTCGGAGCCTGGAGCCTGCTTCGGATTCTGTGTCTCCCTCTCTCTCTGCCCCTCCCCAGCTGGCTCTCTGTCTCTCTCTCTCTCTCTCTCTCTCTCTCAAAAAATAAATAAATAATACAATATGATACCATACAACAAAATAAAACGGAGCTGGGTCCATAAATTCATTCTAGGGCATAAATAATATCGTGTGCAGACAGCGTGTGACACTGAATCTTACACGCTACACAGCCCCTCGCAAATGTGACTGACTGCAGACATCCGTTTGCCTGACTGACTCGCTGGGCCTGCGCCCTCGGGGGTCACACAGGAGGTGCGGCATTCGGACAGGACTGGACGCGGGAGAAGCGACCACAGTCAGACCCCTGTTCCTGCTACCCAGCCTTCAGAAAGTGCTTCCCTCCAGCCTACACCTGATGGTTCACCCCCTGACTTTCTGGACTTTGTAGGGACTTTTGGGTGGTGTTCGCTGTACCCCAAACTTCCCTTTCCTTCCGGCCGCTCCCCGGTCGTGTCGCAGGGACCTCCCACCTGCCTGCCGGAGGCTCGCTGCTGTGCTGGAGAGGGAGCCCGCACTGCCCTGCCCGTCGTAGCGCTGGGCCGGCTCCCCTCTTCCAGGTCCGTTTCCCCACCTATGAACACAGGTGGCCGGGCTGGGGGATCTTCAGCGGCAGGTGCAGACTGGAGCCACCGCGATCGCCAGGCTTCCCCTCCTGGGGCCTCAGCTTCTGTGGCCCAATCCCCAGAGACCTCAGGGGAGGCCAGCCGTCCGCAAAGCCAGCCTGACCGGCCCAGCCCTGATGCTTCTACATGTCTCCGCCCTCGTCCCTCAGAAGGACGCAGATGTCATCAAGGATGATCAGGTCTCGGGGGTCAAAGGTTTTCACGTTTGGTCAAGGCCCCCGTGGCCAGGGTTTACATCAAACAGGCCTTTCCAAGAAGCATCTGTGAGATGCCTACTATGTGCCCAGTGCTGTGAGGGACCAGGGATGAGTCAGAGACCCATCCTGCCTTCCTGAGGCTGGGCGAGGGTATAAGCCCGCCTGTCCTGTGTAGCTGCTACGTTACAGGTCACAAGTGTGGAGGCTGGGTGGCAATCAAGGAGGGAGAGACGCCAGCTTGATGAGGACAGAGGGGAGGGAGAGAGTTTGGGGGGGGGGGATATATTTTAACCGGGCTTTGAAGGATTTTGCTCATCAACATTTTATTACAAAGACTTCCAAACATAGAGAAAGGTTGAAATTGTAGATCCAACGATTAAGTAAATACATTTTCTTTTTTTTTTTTTTTTTTTTGCTGTATTTATCACAACATCCACTTCATCTGATTTCTGCAGGTATTTCATAGCAAACTGCAGATGTTGGGATATTTCTCCCAGAAATGCCGCTCTGACAGGTTCTGACAGCAGAGCTGGGGGTGGGGGAGGAGGCAGGGAAGGAAGTGTGGCCACCGCCGCCGCCCCAGAGAGCTGCATGGGGCGGGGGGGGGGGGGAGTGGGGAGAAGGGCCACGGAGGAGCCACAGCAGGTGTGGGGCAGGAGACCTGCTGCTCACTCCCCGAGGGGGTTCTCCTCAAAGGCTGCGGAGCCCAAGTTTGGGGACCAGAGGCAGGCTGCCGCCTGTCCTGACCTTGGGGAGGGTCAGCGCCCCCACAGAGCTTGCCTCTGTGACCCTGTCCTCCTTCCCAAGGCACCGGGGCAGGCCGACAGAGCCTGACAGGGCCAGCAAGTAAGTAGACTCCTGGGGAAGGTGGGGACACCTGAGGGGCGTCCTGGAGTGCGGCCTCTTCTCTCGAAAAGAAGAAATTCATTTGTGGCAGAATTTAACCCTTCTAAATTCCTCGGGTTGGTGGAAACTGGAGAAAGTCACGCTAATTCTCTTCAAAATCAGTGGAAATATTCATCCAGGACTGAGCTGTGGGCGGTTTGTTCCTGGGGACCCATAGGCAGGCCTATCCCCATGTCCCCAGGTCCCCAGGAAAGAGCCACATGCTCGGGCGCCCCCCGGGGCAGGCGTTACAGTGGGACATGCTGTCCCGCCCCAGCTCACGAGACCACACCCGGCTGCCAAGGGCGAAGCCCACTTCCTCCAGGCAGGCAGAGCCGTGAGAAGGGTTTGAAGGAGGCCCGGGGCTCTCCGTGATGCTGATAAGGCTCTGGGCCTTGACTGCTGGTGCAGGGGTGGGGGTGGGGGTATGTGCTCTCACCGCTTCACCCTCTACGCCAAGCTGGGGTCCCAGCAGGCACTTAGTGCCCTCTCTACAACCCAGACCTTCCCGCCCTCCGTGCCCTCACCGCCCTGTGCCCAGATACCACCTGCCTGCACACGGCGTCCTCGGCTAGAGAGGCTACTCTGACCGCCCCCTCCCCTCGGTGAACTCCCACGTGCCTTCAAACCATTGTCATCGTCCCCAACTCCTCCGTGAGCCCTCAGGCTGCTCCTGTCCCCTCTCTGACCGCTGCCTGCACTTCTGAAGAGACCACGCTCCTCCGGGAAGGACCCCTGCAAACGTGTGTCAGATAAGGGGCCCCTGGGTGGCTCAGTCCGTTAAGCAGCTGACTTCAGCTCAGGTCATGATCTCACGGTCTGTGAGTCTGAGCCCCACGTCGGGCTCCGTGCTGACAGCTCGGAGCCTGGCGCCTGCTTCGGATCCCGTGTCTCCCTCTCTCTCTCCTCCTCCCCTGCTCAATCTCTGTCTCTCAAAAATAAATAAACGTTAAAAAAAAAAGGTTTTTTTTAATGTGTGTTAAATAAGGGAAACCAGCAGCGTTCTTGCCCTGAAACCATTTGGAATCAGTAAGAAAAACAACTGTCAAGCCCAAAGTTTGACACCTGTCCCCACCCATGGCCCTGGATACCACAGTCACCCACATGCCAGTGACAGGGCGGATCACGGTCATCAGACTGGAGGTGAGGAAGCCAGGAGGGCAGGGTCCGGGGGGGGACCGAAAAAGGGGCCCAAGTCATTGCCTCCTGCTGGGCTGCTGGTCACTCGGCCCAGAGCCAGGCGGGATGGCCTGGAACAGACAGAGAAAGCCTCGTCTCCGGGCCTGGGGTCCTCAGCTAACCCTACAGGGGTTTTAAAAGCACTTTCCCGAGAAAATTGTAATGCCATCACAGGAGACCCATCTGTCATCCCTTCAGGGTATAAACTCCTGAAGGCTGAGGCCCACGTCTCCTCCGCAAATGCGCCCCTGCACACAGTTTCGGAGCGAACGAGCGAGGCGTTTCGGAGCGAACGAACGCCCCGGATGACCTGGGTCAGGCTGGCCTTTCTCAGGAGGAAGATCAACGCGGCTGGGAGGTGTAGGGCTTCTGAGCTCCTGTGGCTGGGGCCCTCCCTGTAAGGACAGGGCCGCATCTGGATGGCGACCTGTGAGCCACAAGGGCTCTGCGGGCAGCTGGAGCCAACACAAGAACCTGTGGCTTCGGAGACATCGGGGCGGGCGGGGGGAGGGGCTCAGTCGGTTAAGTGTCTGACTCTTAAGTGTCAGGTCATGATCTCTCAGTTCACGGGATCGAGACCCGCATGGGGCTCTGCGATGATGGTGTGGAGCCTGCTTGGGACTCTCTCTCTCCCTCCCTCAAAGTAAATGGCAGAGGCAACGTGCTGGCCCCAACCTATCACTTACCCGTAGACACTGCTGCTCCCTGGGTGGTCGTCAGCGCTCTGCTTTGAGGACACCTGGAAAAGGACAAAAGGAAGGAGCATCAAAATTTGCCCCGCCTAACGGCCTTCTGCCGGCCGATGACAGCCACCACCATGTTCAACCCGGGACTAGGCAACCCAGCGCCGAAAAGTTGCCCTCCCGCTTTCTAGTTCGTCCGCTTATTTCACAGGTGGGAGGGCTGAGGCTGGGGGAGGGGGCGACTTTGCAAAGCTCACACAAAGCAACTCCCTGCCTCCCAGCCAGGTACCCCTGCTACCCCCTTATCTCTCATCTCCAGGGGTCACCGTCCGCCGTCCTCTCTGCTCGGCCAAGCTGTCTCTGTCCCAAGACAAGGGTGCACGGACACGGTGCACAGCTGTGTGTGGGCTTTTCCGGGAGTCAGTGCCTCGCCCCATAGGTCGCACACAACTTTAGAACGAGCCTGAACACCTGCTCATGCAAGTCTTCCCCCGCCCCCCCTTTTTTTTTAAAAAGAGTCTTGACCACCCTTGGTTCTTTGCATTTCCCTATATACGTATGGAGACCAACTTGTCACACTTTATGGGAAGAAAAAATCTTGGGGATTTTGTTGGGTTTATATTAAACTATGGATCATTTGGAGGGAACTGATATCTTCTCCATTCATTCAGGGCTTCTTTAATTGAGTCTTTTTTTTTTTTTTTAGCAACGATTTTTTTTTTAATTTTTTTTTTCAACGTTTATTTATTTTTGGGACAGAGAGAGACAGAGCATGAACAGGGGAGGGGCAGAGAGAGAGGGAGACACAGAATCGGAAACAGGCTCCAGGCTCTGAGCCATCAGCCCAGAGCCTGACACGGGGCTTGAACTCACGGACCGTGAGATCGTGACCTGGCTGAAGTCGGACGCTTAACCGACTGCGCCACCCAGGCGCCCCGCAACGATTTTAAGTGGATTTATTATTTTTTTCTTTTTGAGAGAGAGAGAGAGAGAGCAAGAGAGAACGGTGGAGGGACAGAGAGAGAGGGGGAGAGAGAATCCCAAGCAGGTTCCACACTTGGGGCTCGATCCCCCAAGAGCTTGACTGACTGAGCCACCCAGTTTAGTCTTTGAAGGAATTTTTTCATTTTCCCTGTGGGGACCACGGACCAGTTCCTAGATGGTTGGTGTTTGCAATGCTATTATCAACAACATCTTTTTATTTTTATTTTTTTAAATTAATTGTTTTCTGAGGGAAAGAACACGACTGCACGCAAGAGGGGAGGGGCAGAGGGAGAGAATCTTAAGCAGGCTCTATGATCAGCACAGAGCCTGATGTAGGGCTTGATCTCACGACCGTGAGATCATGACCTGAGCTGAAACCAAGATTCTGATGCTTACCCAACTGAACCATCCAGTCGCTCCATCAACATCATCTTTTTTTTTTTTTTTAATGTTTATTTATTTTTGAGAGAGAGAGACACAAAATCTGAAGCAGGGTCCCCGCTCTGAGCTGTCGGCACAGAGCCCGACATGGGACTCGAACTCATGAACCAAACTGTGGGATCATGACCTGAGCCGAAGTCGAATGCTTAACCAACTGAGCCACCCAGGAGCCCCTACGTCATCTTTTTAAAATAAAATTTTATTTTATATCTCTTGTTGTTGCAAAAATATAACAGAAATGTATATATTGGTGAGGGGGGTGGTCAGTGAACTTACCAATTCACTTGTTAATTTTAATAATCTACTTATAGATTCTCTTTGTATTGTTTTTGTTCCCATTCACATTCTCTGGGAATAATGGCCATTTGAGTTCCCCCTAACCTTTCTGTACTCCTGGCACCACATGGAAAGAGGTGATGATAACAGCCATCTTTGTCTTGCTCCCTTATTGAAAGGGAAAGTTTCTATTGTTCCACAGCATAACGTCTGCTGTGGTTTTTTTCTCGAGCGTTCTTGATCCGACCCTCATCTGGCTGCTATGCTCGGGGTCATTTCTCCAGTTCTGTCTTCCAGCTCGCCAATCTTCTCTTTGTGCCGGTCTAATCTCCCGCTAACCTGCACCTCAGGACCTTTAACTTTGTTTATTCTAGCTTCCATTTCTCCAAGTTCTGTTTGGTTCTTTTTCAAATATACTAGGGCACTTTCTCTAGGCCCTTGTCCTTTGCAGGTATTTTCTTTCTTTCTTTTTTTTTTTCAACGTTTTTATTTATTTTTGGGACAGAGAGAGACAGAGCATGAACGGGGGAGGGGCAGAGAGAGAGGGAGACACAGAATCGGAAACAGGCTCCAGGCTCCGAGCCATCAGCCCAGAGCCCGACGCGGGGCTCGAACTCCCGGACCGCGAGATCGTGACCTGGCTGAAGTCGGACGCTTCACCGACTGCGCCACCCAGGCGCCCCTGCAGGTATTTTCTTTAAACAGAATAAACATAAATTGATTATAACCTGTGCCTGGTAATCCAAATAACTGAGGTCTTCACTGATCTATTTTTTCAAGATTTTATTTTGGGAGCACCCGAGTGGCTCAGTTGGTTGAGCATCCGTTCGACTCTTGATTTGGTTCCAGTCATCAGTGCAGGGTCGTGAGATTGAGCCCCACACTGGGTTCCGTGCTAAGCGTGGAGCCTGCTTAATATTTTCTTTCTTTCCCTCTGCCCCTCTCCCACGCTCACACAAGCTCTCTCTCTTTCTCTCCCAAATAAATGAAATGCAAAATTTTTTTTAATTTTATTTTTAAGTAATCTCTACGCCCAATGTGGGGCTCAAACTCACAACGCTGAGATCAAGAATTACTCTCTCCACCAACTGAGCCAGCCAGGTGCCCTTCTGACTACTATTTCTTCTAGTTTCCACTGGGTCCCTTGCATAGTTGGTTTTTTTTTTTTAACGTTTTATTTATTTTTGAGAGAGAGAGGGAGAGAGCACAAGCAAGGAGGGGCAGAGAGAGAGAGAGAGAGAGGGACAGAGTATCCAAAGCAGGCTCTGTGCCAACGGTGGAGAGCCTGACGTGGGGCTCAAACTCACCAACAGTGAGATCATGACCTGAGTAGAAGCTGGACACTCAACTGACTGAGCCACCCAGGTGCCCCACAGTCGGTTATTTTTTTTATGGTTTGCTGCTCATTGTCCCTGGAAACTTCTTTGTGAGTATCCTCTGAGGCCTAAGAGTAAGATGACTTTTGCCAGGCACCTCAGGGGCGTTTCCAGTCTGGGACCACTTGAGATTAAACCTATGCATTCAGGCCTGGTATAGGGACCTTACTTATTCTGCAGACATTGGGAAGGTTTAAAGGTTTTGTGTTTTCATTGTAATAGTACAGCAATTGTGTTTCTCATTCCATGATCCTACACTGTGAAAAGAGAGGACTTTGCCTCCATAGGATGCTGTTTATATTCTCTCCACATTCTCTTTCAAAGCCCCCCTCCCTCCTCTGAGTCGGAGGTGTAATCACACAGATCAATCATTCAGCAGCCATTCACCCAGCGCCCCCAGCGTGCCCGGTGCTCTACCAGCTGCCATGGAGACATGCGCTCCACGTTCTTGAGGTGCTGGCGACGTCACTGGAGAAGGAAGTCTTAGACACATTAAACAGCTGGCAATATGTGTAAGAGCACAGAGACTGTGGGGGTGTGCAGTTGAATAGTGTGGGCATGTGGTAGTCAAGGGCATGAATTTTGAAAGAGTAACAGACCAAACCCTGCCCTACCAGCTACGAGGTTGTGGGTGGTTTTCCTGACCTTTGCTTTTCTTCCTTCCTTCCTTCCTTCCTTTCTCTTTCTTTCTTTCTTTCTTTCTTTCTTTCTTCTTTCTTTCTTTTTCTTTCTTTTAATGTTTATTTATTTTTGAGAGAGATAGATAGAGAGCTAGTGGGGAAGAGGCAGAGAGACAGGGGGAGATAGAGAATCCCAAGCAGGCTCCATGCTGTCAGCACGGAGCCCAACGTGGGGCTTGAACTTGCAAACTGTGAGATCGTGACCTGAGCCGAAACCAAGAGTCAGACGCTTAATTGACTGAGCCACCTGGGCACCCCTGGCTTCCCATGTGAAACGCAAGTTTTCTGTGAGATATTTTAGGGTGATTCCAAAGTGCCTGGCACTTAGTAAGTTCTCAGTAACTATCAGCTGTTATTGTTTCTATCATCGGACCGATGCTGTATTCTATACTGTCGTCTAGTTATTAACCTGTTAACGTTACTTAGTCCTCCCCAGCAAGAGTATCAGTTCTCCCAAGTTTACAGCTCTCCAAGCTGAGCACACAATAAACACGAAATATTTCCCAAATTAAGTTGTATGTCAAGTTGCTGGGTTGTTATAATGTTGAGTTTAAAATCTGTACAGCAGTCGGCATAGTTGAGTAAAAATAGCATTAATACGGAAAAGGGTTCAAATCTCAGTTCTGCCATTTAATAATGATATGCCTCCGGGTGGATTGTGAGGCTCTCTGGGCCTCAGTCTACCCGTCTGCATAATGGGGACTTACCCATTATCCATCCAGCTCATCCTTAGTGTAACACCCATCCTATCGACGACCAATAAGTATCCGAACCAACGTCCGATCTAGAGTGACGTCTGACAAAGCTCCCCTGGAAGGTAATCGGAGCACATGAAGAGGTTGGCCCAGGGAACATCTTGGTCTTCAATGCGTAAGGAGAGGGTCTGGTACGACATGTTGTTCCCGGAGAAATACGTTCTGACATGTTCCTTGGGAAACGTCCGTGGTGGGAAATGGAAGGAAGCACGCACTGGGTATGTCCTGCCAACCCAGGCCCTGTGGGGGTGGGCAGTGGACGGCCAGCCAGCTTCAATGCATTGTCCGCATTGTTCTTGCCCGCCCAATGCTGTCTGCAAGTGGGGGCTGGCCGCATGGCAGAGGTGCACAGCCCCGTCTCAGGGGTACCCCCAACGGGTACCGCTGTGGCCGCTGGTGACTGGTGATCGTGCTATGGGGGAGCCAATATCATGGCACGTTTCTTTGAACACTCATTGTTGCCTCTGGGGGGTATAAAGATGAAGAGGAGACGACTCCCAGGTCAGCAGGGAATTCACAATAGGAAGAGGGACAGAGAGTGGGGGGTGGAGCAAAGACAGAGGACAGGAAGTGATACACACAGACACAACTCACACACACACTTACCTCCGCTGCCTCCCGAAGCCACCCATCCCCTCTCAGAGCAGTGCAGACTATCCAAATGCTCTTTTTGGTTGAAAAAAAAAATGCCTTATTGGCGTAAAATACACATAGCCTAAAATTTACCATCGTAACCATTTTTAAGAGTACATTTCGGTATCACGTACATTCATAGGGTTGTGCGACCAATCTCAAGAACTCTTTCCGGCCTACAAAACAGAAACTCGGGCTCGTTAAACAACTCCCGGTCCCTGTGCACATCCCTGGTAACCACCCTTCTATTGTCTATGAATCGGAGTGGCCGCTTCATTTAAGAGGAGCCGTACAATATTTGTCCTTTTCTGTCTCGCTTATTTCAGTTGGCATGTCTTTGAGTTGCATCCCTGCTGTAGCATGTGCCGGAATTTCCTTCCTTTTCAAGGCTCAATAATACCCCGCAGGACACACGCACCGTATCTTGTTGATGCCTGCTTTGGATTCTCTTGGGCACGTCGGAAAGTTCTCGTTCATGTCGGTACCAACCTGCCTCCCTACAGCTTTCAGTCACTGGGCCCGCGTGCACGCTGAGAGACGCCAGAGAAGAAAAGTAGTCCTTTTACCCAACCACCCTGGAGCTACTTTTTATGGTGTCATCCTGTTTGGACGCTTGTTCCCTCTTGTCAGCTTCTGGAACCAGCTTCTGTCGTCACCTGCTTTGGCTTTCCCCTATACCCCCCAGACGGTGTCATAGGGTTGTTACAAATGTAGTTTCTCCCATCGGGAGGGCAACCGAGGGTCAAACCTTCGCAGGATCAGCCTGACGGGGACGCACTGCCGGCCACGCAGGGCAGCGACGACGCGGAACCGCATCCGCCACGTGAACACCATCCCCCACGTGAACCGCACACCCTACGGCGGGGTTCGGAAGGAAGGTCATACTCTTGCTTTTGTAATGTCCCTGATGGCTCAGCCCTGTTCCGTCTGCTTAACGTTTGCTGAGGCTTCGTTCTGTGCCTGCGGTTTGAACGCGGGGTCCTTTCCTTGCCAGTTTGTTTAAGCCTTTAACTTGACTGTCTCACAGGCGGACTGTGTTAGACGCCCTCCCAGAGACACGGCTTGCAGAAGCCGCCGGGGAGCTTGGATGAAAAGCAAAGACACAGCGGCCCCTGCCGGCCGCTCCAGACCTAGTGCAGCCACGAGTTCCGGCCGCCTGCCAGCTGGCGGCCTGCCACCCCTGGGCCAGACAGACACCGGGCCGGTGGGGGGCCGGTGGGGGGCCATGGCGCCTGGGCTGGGGCCGGCCGTGGGAACTGGGCTGAGCTCAGGGGAGCGCGTGAGTGCGTATGGGCGGGCGGGGGATGTGTCATCACTCGAGATCTTACCGAGGCTTTGAAGAAGCCAGAGCTGACGGAGAAGCAGAAAAGAGGAGGAGGAAGTGAATAAGACGGTCTCTTGCAGTCTCCTCAGACTCTTACAACTAAGGGTTTTCGAGAAAGGTGAGGTATCAATGGTGGATTTTTAGAAAATCCACTGCAGCTTTTATTTGCCAAAATGTACACATTCTGCTTCTTTTGTTTAGAGATTCCTCCCCACTAAGTCTTCGTGGTTAACAGATTTGTATGTATATATACATACACATATCAAGGACGCGGTAATTGGCATAGAACAAGCCACAGATGCTGAAAGAATTCAATTTGGTTGGCTTCGACAAGTGTATGCCGACCATCATCGCAGTCATGCCCTCTGTGGTCCCTCCTTCCCTCCGCTGCCCTGCTGTCTCCAGGCAACCATTGATCTGCTTCCTGTCACTGCAGATTCGTGTACTTTCTTTGGAAGCCAAGACGCATGGAATCACAGAACGCGCACCCATTTTCTGGCTTCTTTCATTCAGTATAATGATTCTGAGATCCATCCATGTTGTAACAATAACTCACTCTCTTAAAAAAAAAATAACTTTTTTTTTTTTTTAGGTAAACTCTACACCCAACGCTGGGCTTGAACTCATGACCCTGGGATCAAGAGTCATGTGCTCTACAGACTGAGCCAGACAGGCGCCCCAGTAGTTTGCTCCCTTTTGCTGCTGGGTAATATTCCACAGCACGGATAGACTTTCCCCTTCTTCGTTGGTGAAGAATTATCCTTCTTTGAAGCTCACGTTTGTTTGGTTGATTGGGTATTTTATGTTTCATTACGGACATTGGAACACAGGCAGTAGAGAGAACAGTGTAAGGGAATTCCTGGTACCCGACCTCCCGGCCTCAGCCATTTCCAGGGTTTTGCCCTCGGACCCAGCCCTCCCACCGCCAGCGGGCGCTCCTGTCCCCACCCAGCCCCTGTCCGCCGCTTCCCAGGGAGCAAACGCTGCGGGCCACGGTGGGTTCTGCAGTAGACCTGTTCTGCATTGTTAAAATGACAACCAGACTTTTTCAAAAAAACAGGTTCTG